AAACATGTAAAAGAGCATTGTAACCTGTCTCTATATACTTTGATTTGGACAAATCAGTGTTTTGTTCCAGGTAGGATAGAAGCTGTCTTTCAGCAGCGGGCTTAAAAGGATTAAAAAAAGATACAACTTTATAAACCAAACTAGCTACTCTAATGTCCTGTAAGGAAGTAAAGTACGAATTATTATAGATTTGATTAGTGCTTTTAGTAAAACATAGGGTTATACAATTAATAAATCAACATCTCTTCTATTGCTTAATGAGAATCTAAAAATTCAATTCACAAGCTATAACTTTTAAAGTAATGGATCACTTTATATACATAGGTATCTAAATTAAGCGTACGTTAAATTTCTTTACTAAAAAGACATAGTATTTTAAAATGTCTTCAGCTTAGAGGCTTCAGCAGATCTAATCTAGATAGTTTAACTAAACCTCAGAAAAAAGTAAAATAGTTTGAGCAGAATATCTGAATTCAACTGACAATTCTGATTTAAGATTGTAGGCTTGGTATGAGGATTTAGAAACATATATTGTAAAAGAGGATTGAGAATCAGCAAAAGCCCATATTAGTGCAACAGTCTCCTACAATCCAAGTGGCTCATGAGAACGAATGAGACATCAGAAAAATGGAATAGTTATAATGGCAATGTACCTGATGTATGTACTAGGTGGTAAATGTAACTGATGTATGAACTAGGTGTTAAAAAGAGTAAATGTACTGATGTATGTACTACGCGTTAAAAAGAGTAAATGTACTGATGTATGTACTAGGTGGTAAAAATAGTAAATGTACTGATGTATGTACTAGGTGGTAAAAATAGTAAATGTACTGATGTATGTACTAGGTGGTAAAAATAGTAAATGTACTGATGTATGTACTAGGTGGTAAAAAATAGTAAATGTACTGATGTATGTACTATGTGGTAAATGTACCTGATGTATGTACTAGGTGTTAAAAGAGTAAATGTACTGATGTATGTACTAGGTGTTGAAGGGTCATTGCTCCACTGTGTGTGGGGTGTCCTGAGGTTAAAGGAGTAGTAGAGACCACTATATCTAAGGATATACACTTTTTTATTTAGGAAACATGCGTTTACAAAGAATGAAAAAAAGTACTGATAGCTATGTGTCTTTTACAAGCAACGAGAACAATTGCAATTTAGTGGAAAAAAAAAAGTTCAAGCTGATGCTTTGGGTAAAATAAAAATGCTATTTCCCCTTGAAAGAGTTACATGTTTTAGAAAAGGAAAGTTAGCTATATTTGAAACAAATGTGGGATCATACAAATACATTGTAGAAAATCTAAATGTAACAAATGATGCTGAGGACTAGTTATAAATGACTGTGATCCTATATCTCCATGATATGTTATTCAATATAGTGTTCATATCTGTGGCACTGTGGGAAAGTGTCACTTCATATCTGTGGAGGTCTTATTTTATTGTATCAGTTATTTTTATATATTTTTCGTATGCGGGTGCTTGTTGTACCTTTTGTCTTCTATTTTCATTAGTGATACACTAAATGAGAACGAGCTACTTGGAGAAATTTAAATAATGTCATGAGGAACAACAAACTCAAACATGAGTACACAAATTATTTTGTCAAAGGCAGAAATATCCAATAAAATAAATATATCAAAATGAATTTTGTAGATACTTTACTCGTGTAGGAGACTCGAAAGAAAAAAGAAAATTTCCAAAGCCAGCATCTAGCAGTGAAATACAAAGGTAGATCCTGTGAACAGTATTTTTCTTTCCAATATGTAAAAAAGACAAAGTATGAAAAATTGTGAATACATTTGTAAACAACCGACTCTGGCTCAGACATGATGCATCTGTAATTGAACCTTTTTACATACCTTTGTAACTTGTCACTAAAACAGGAACCTTTTCCTGAAAATGAAAACAACTAAAATTATACCTCTTTACAGAAACAAACACAACTTCTCAAATTCTAGACCCGTGTCCTTGCTGCCTCAGTTTTCTAAAATCTTGAAAAAGTATTTGCATGTGAGTGGATAGCTTTTTACAAAAGTAAATATACTAATTCAAAATGGGTATGGTTTTAGGAAAAAACACTCAACTGCTGTGGCAATAATGGAACTGACAGAGAAAATATGCAGATAAATATGTTGTAAGTATCTTACTAAACCTGCAAAAGGCTTTTGATGTCATTAACCACTCCTGAAAATGGAATCATAGGCTTTGCTCATACATGGCTCTCTAGTTATCTAGAAAATCTTAAACAGTTTGTGCAGATAAATTGTAAAAAATAATAAATTACTCAATACCAATATTGTTTGTATGAGTGACTTTCCAAATGTATCAACTATTGTGGTGTCCTCAGGATACGTGACCATTTGAAGCTAGAGCGAACGGGAAACTTACTTTTCTTGTTTCATAGAGAATCTCTCGCGTATGGTTCATTGCATCCTTAAATACAAAATACCAAAATCACCGTAACTGCAACAACTGAAAAAACTATCGACGGCTATACACACGGAATTGCTTACTGCACTAGCTACTCAGATATAGGGCCAACTTAACACTTTGCATTAGAATAAAACACTTTTGGGGTCCTAACAATATGGTTATGAGATTAAATAATACTTACAAAGACGAACGTTTGCTAAGGCTCTACACATGAAACAACGATTTTTACAAAAACAAACCAAACATGAGCGCTTACTCTGTTCGACCAGGAAACTGATGTCTTACTTTGTTTCCCCTTATATTTTTAGCACAACAAACAACTATAGCTTATTATCACACTGGGCCCCTAAGCACACAGCCAAGATAACAAAGAAGTGGTTCAGGACAACTCTGTGAATGTCCTTGAGTGGCACGTTGGTCCCTTCTCTGTTAAAGGACTTTTATCAGAGTGCGGCGGATTTCACCCTGTCTTCATTTCTTTGTTTTTAATGTAACTTATTACATAACATTTAAGAACGTGTTGCATTTTTAAACGTATAAATGATTGAATTATGTCTTTAAACTTGTAAACATGACACCTATATTACAAATAATCTTATTTGCTGGTGCCACAGCATTATTTTGTTGTGGAAAAATGTTGGAGAGTTATCAAAAAGTAATAAACAAAGAACTTGTCATAATAAAAATCTGGTTGGTTCAAATGACTTTGCTCTAAACAAAGAAAAACGAATACATACTATTCAATGCTATAAAGAAAAACATCTTAAATAGTGTGTCGATAAGACTAGACGGGGGAAATTCAAAAGGGTAAAAGAAACAACATTTTTGGGTGTCATCATCGTTGAGGATCTGAGTTGTAAATCTCACAGACACTGTACATAAGGAAAATTAGCCAAATCACTTGGTGTTTTACACTTTCCAAACCACTCAGCATTACTGACCTTAGATACTAGAATGATTATACCGACCTCACCTATGTTGTCAACATTTGGAGACAACGTTTAACACAGCCTATAGTTAAAAAAAGACCAGAAGGAAAATATATCGAGATTCATCAAATCCTGTTTTTGAGTGCTTGGTGTTAAAATTATATGTTATAGTGGATTATACTATTTATCATACATTGTATAAGGTAAATTGCAAAACATCTACGAGAACTTTGGAAAAAAAGACAAAGTCGATACAATCTGTAACTGATATCTTTAATAAAAACTAGATTCAGAACTACATTCGTGGGAAGAATGGTCTCTGGAAGGAATCAACTTAACAAAGACATTAAAGAGTCAAAATAAAAATCATGGTTTTTAAGAAACAACAAAACTACTATACTCAATAAATATGAGAGTGTTACATACGAAAATCTGGATTTTAATTAATGGTTTGTGTTTTGGTAAAATGTTGCACATAATGTTTAATTACTGGTTTGTGTTTAGGTAAAATGTTGTACATAATGTTTAATTACTGGCTTGTGCTTTGGTAAAATGTTGTACATAATGTTTAAGGTATGTAATATGGTTGTTTAATCAGTCTTTAAGATGACTATTTATGGTAACAATTGTATATCTGAGAGATGTACGCCTTTAAATCATTTGATCTCCAGTAAAAAGAAAACATGTACCTAGGACCCTAGTTTCACATCTACCTACTCTGTTTCAAACTGTGTACATATAGGTATATAGGGTTCTTATTTTTATTGTATTGGATAATTAAATTGCTATAGAGACTAATACCTTATGATTAGGGTTAGGAGTATAACGCATTAATTACGATTGATAAACACACACAAAAAAATATATGTGTTTTTGCTCCACGGAACCTTTGTCATCAGGTGAGTTTCACACGGGTCATTTATACTGTTGTACCAGTTGGAACCCTGCGCCCATCTCCGTGACTCTTATTACTTAAAAGCTGTGACAGTTAAGTCAAAGTAGGCACAGGAGAGAGTTTCATTGCTCTCCTCAAGCCTTGTATATTGTGAGCTCTTGTGAAGCTGCTCTTTAAATAATTTTCCTTTTACATACATGGTATACTGAAAGCCTAGCAGCCCATCAATTGACATGGTGAGCTCAGTCATGGTTCCCCACATTCACACATCACATACATCAGAGCATTCTGGTTGGTTGTTAGTACGCCCTCCCTACCGCTCATCACTATCACACACATACACGTGTCGTTAACAGGGAGGACCTGTAGATTAATTAGTTTATTGACCTAACTGCTTGTTTTAGAATACACCGTGATCATAAAACACTTTAGACAACTGTGAAAGCATTATCACACACACACAGGCCAACAGAAGCTAACTCTTTGAAAAACAAAGTGCAGTAACACCTTTCACCACTTGCTCAAGAGCGCCGTCCCCTTTCTGGGGGGGATTTTAGGGTGCAGTACCACCTTTTCACCACTTGCTCTCTACCGCCGTCACTACTATCTACTAGTATCTATCTATCTATAAGGGGCAGATAACCAAGGTCCATAAATGTTGCTGAAGGTCCATAAATGTTGCTGAATGCTGAGTGTCCTGGATCATCACCGCTGTTAATGAAATGTGATTGTAATTACAGGAGTATAAAGCAGTTTTGGACAGCGCGGACCCCCATATTCTATTAGATGTGCGTCCCAACGTGGAGGTGAACATATGCCACTTGCCCTTTTCCCTCAGTATCCTTCTCATGCAGATATGGTTCAGTCTATTGGATCATGTGTCTCTCAATGTGTTTGCCTGGTTATATGGCTTATATTGCTGCCAGACATCCCGCTCTCAAGTTTAGAGGAGAGGAACAGTGATCAGATCCAGTTACTAAGAGACAGAATCAGCCAGTTGAAACAGCAGATGGCAGCTGACTCCCAGCCTGCAGGTAACTTATCCAAACACCATTCATGACTATTCATGCTTTTCAAAATGACCAGACACGTAAAGCCCAGTTTACATATTCACAGTCTCAAAATGTGTGCGTTGGCATATCTTGCAGCGCTAATACCAGATTGGAATGGTGTTGCTAGGTGATACCTTTTCCAAAGCATGCTCGCTCAACAGCTGGCCTGCTTGAAAAATCAGTATACATCAACTTAATTTTAAAGTTGTTCTGAAAATGAACAAATAAGAAGTGTAGTAACTGTATCTTCATAGTCATTTGTTATATTCTTATTTTCATGTATATCATCCAGCAGTATAATAGTTGTAATAGTCTTTAATAAGGGCGGGTGCTTTTTGTTCTGGGTGCAGCTCTTGACTGCCACCTTCCCAACCCAGTCATGCATTCAGGGGAAGAAAATTGATGGATGAATAGTCTTTAATACTGTAAGTTGATGATTTATGAAACTATTGTTTTTTTTGTTTCTTTTTCAGTTTTTGTGATCTGTAAGGTTGGCAATTTCTCCCAAAAAGCAGTGAAGGTCTTGGAAAAGATGAGTGGATCAGAAGTAGCCCATATCACAGTAAAAGACATTAGTGGCGGTCTCATGGCCTGGGCCAACACTGTGGACCCGACCTTTCCACAGTATTGAGAATGCTGAATAATATATCTACAATGTATGTCCTTGTTAATAAATATGTATTTATACATTTTTTCCTTTCTCTGTTCTTTTTATTATAATGTGTAAATGGAGAACTCAAAACTGGTAAAATTGTTGGTTTAAGCTTCGGTTTCATTGAATAAAATCTCTCTAACTACTTTCTCGCTCTAAAAACAGTTTCTAAAGAATGTATTTTCAGCCTTTGTCACACATGTCACAAATGGTGACTCACAGGGCTCTTTCTTATAAGTACACCAAAGATAACATGTTTATAATTAGATGAAAATTGCCTGTTGTGGTCTGATTTCTTGACAACATTTTACATTTACATTAAAGGATGGGGGGAATTTTCATGAATATGAATACCAAACATGGATTGATGCTGTAACATTTGCGTACATTAAATGTATACTAACAAAGGCAGAAACATTCATTATAAAGTTTGGCTGTACTTATAATTGACTTATCTTGTGTGCTTCTCCTACAGTTCTGTAATGCAACATTGAAATTTCCCCACTGTGGGACCAATAAAGTATCTCTTAATCTTAAGAATGGACTCAAAACTCATTTCCAGTAGGCTATAAACTAAACTCCTTATAAACCGAGGACTGCGCATATAATTAAGTTGGAGAGTGGCACATAAAGTTCCTTTCAACTCCACTTGTGACTTTGGAGCTTCAGAGTCTGTACTACAGCTTTTTTTTTCTGGGCAGCCCTTGTTAAAGTAACGGAAAGAGCGACGCATGCGCAGTGGCTCTCACGCGGCTGCAGGCGCCATTGCTCCGGAGCGACTGTAGTCCACATACTCCTGCGCTCACATGGAAAGTCAGTCATGCGGATACGATAAAGCACTCCAAGCCCCAGCCGGCCGCCGCTGCTCTTTCTCACCAAGCAGGGGGAGTAGTCACAGCTGGAAGGATAATAAGATGCGCATGAATTTACTATTTGAAATAAAGATAAGAAAAATGAGCGACTTGTCCATCGTTGCGCTTTGGACTTTTTCTAATGTTTCCGACCGTGACCGGGGACGCGCCGCCGAGCCTCCGAGCGCCAGGGACGAGCTGTAAACTTTCGCCTCTGCTTTCCTCTCTTGATGAAGTTACAAAGTTTCTTCAGTCACAATGGAAAGAAAGGCGCCCGTCGCCGACTGTGGAGGTAATGCGCTGTCCTCACCACTCATCAGCCTCACCGTGTTGTGGAACCATACACTTCATACAGAGCAACAAAAGCTGAAGACAATGTGCGAATGCTGATCCTTGTATAACCTTGTTTTTCTGGCATTCAAGACCAGGCTTTTGCCAGAGAGCCACTTACAAGTAGAAGGAGGGCAGATGTGTCCGAGCCTTGGATCCAGATGTTGACGGCTCAACTTTTTATTCTACAGCTATATTCTGTGTAGAGTGACGGGGCCGTATGAGAAGGCTAAATATCGTGACATTTAAGCAAATTGTGGAACTTTCCAATTCCCTTTTAAACGGCTTACTATGTTTGTTTGGCATTGTTCCACTTGGTAACACAAACTTAAAAAGTCCATGTTTAATGAGTAATTGCATGTGGATAGCCGAAAGTGTTCCGTTTTGATCTAAAATGTGTGTATTTGTGGTCGCAGGCATCCTGTGCTCACAGTGGGCTTGACTTCATGGAGAGGAGGCTCTAACATTTGAAGTTTGTTTGCTGAAAGTTGGGACACTGCTGGATATAAACAGACTGGATTAAAACAAGATTAATCCTGCTCAGAAGTGAAACTATAACCCAAAAGAGACTGCACTGCTGCAAAGACCCTAACCCTTGGAGTGGATACCCACACATTTGGACATCAGTCAGACTAGATCGGCTCATAGTTCACGTCTCTATCGGAAGAACTCCAATGTCGGCCTCCTCTCCCCCAGCCTTACCTCGAGCCTTCCTCCACACTCTCCCTCCTCATCACCCTCCGCCCTCGGTCGCACCATCCACCCCATCTCCGTCTCCAAGCCCACCTGGGCCAGTCTACGCACGCCTATCCAACGGCAGCCACAACGCCCCCAGCCCCACTAATTCCAGAGGCTCTTTCCAAGGGGTGTCCTTCCTGCTGCAAATTGGGCTGACAAGAGAAACGGTCAACCTAGATCCCAGTGACCCATCACTGTCTTCTGTCAAAGATCTAGTATGCTCCATTGTGGACCAGAAGGTAAACATCCTCTCATTAGCCTGTTCTTTTGTAAGTAGTCCTCAAATATGAATGTCTCTTGTGTGTGGTTCATAACATGGCCATGTGTTTGAATGTCCATGATGCTGTTGACTTTTGTCTGTAGCCTCAACACGGGAGATGGCCTTACTTTATGGAATGTGAACAACAAACCAGGGGCATGAGGCTTCACTCTATTCTTACAAACTGATATGGCAACAAGGGCACAGTGGTGCAGCGGTTAGTGCTAGTGCCTCACAGTGCGAAGGTCTTGGGTGCGATTCCTTTTGTGTGGAGTTTTTATTTTGTGTGTGTCTTTGTAGGTTTCCTCTGGGTGCTCCGGTTTCCCCCACCAGTAAAAACATGTACAATAGTCCCCTGTTACACCCTCCCTCTGCCCCACTCCCACACTGTCTGGGCCCAGGACTCGCCTGAAATCCCAATGGGACTTTCTTTTTTAAATAAAGGTCTATAAACCCTTTTACCGTGAGCATGATTTTGAACGTTCTGTTCAAAACATGCTGCAGATTATTGGTCACACCTTGCACTATTAATGGGTTTGTTGCTGCTGTAATCCTGATGGATTGCTGCTGCTTCACAGTCTAAAATGAAATTGCTCCTGTGTGTGCGGACACAGCACTACTCACTGTTTTACCTTCCACCATTAATGTTGATTAGTGAATTCTCTTTTGCAATTATCATCATCTAAATAATAGTGTTGTGATTAAACAAAGTACTATTAAAGGAATAGTTCACCGTTTGTACATACTGACATATGTTCTTACCTTACCTTAGACTAGTTAATACGTACCTGTCTGGTCTTAGTCCGTGCGCTCTGTCATGCAAACGGAGCAAAAACTGGAGCACAACCGCAGCCTCCTCTGTATATTTTGTAGCACCAAAAGGTAGCTCCCGCTAGAAGCTACCAAACTCTTCCAAGTGTTCCCTATTAAATTTATATAGTTACGTGACGTGTTACACTGCAAAGTATAGTAACACAGAAATGTAACAGTCGATTTTCTCAGCGGATAAAACGGGTACTATATTGTGAGGCGTAGTAATCTGAGGTGCGCTACGTCCGCGCACTAACTTCTCTCCGGAGACTTCTTTCTCGCTCACTTCCGTCAATAGAAGCAGCGTGACTTGTAGTACACACAGTAGCAGCGAGAGAGAAGTCTCCGGAGAGAAGTTAGTGCGCGGAGAAGTTAGGAGCGCTACGTCCGCGCACTAACTTCTCTCCAGAGACTTCTCTCTCGCTGCTACTGTGTGTATTACAAGTCACGCTGCTTCTATTGACGGAAGTGAGCGAGAGAGAAGTCTCCGGAGAGAAGTTAGTGCGCGGACGTAGCGCACCTCAGATTACTACGCCTCACAATATAGTACCCGTTTTATCCGCTGAGAAAATCGACTGTTACATTTCTGTGTTACTATACTTTGCAGTGTAACACGTCACGTAACTATATACATTTAATAGGGAACACTTGGAAGAGTTCGGTAGCTTCTAGCGGGAGCTACCTTTTGGTGCTACAAAATATACAGAGGAGGCTGCGGTTGTGCTCCAGTTTTTGCTCCGTTTGCATGACAGAGCGCACGGACTAAGACTAGACAGGTATGTATTAACTAGTCTAAGGTAAGGTAAGAACATATGTCAGTATGTACAAACGGTGAACTATTCCTTTAATCAGCTGCAAAAGCAATATGTGTACAGGAGGGTTCTATATCTCATCACAAGATCTTTCTCTGCTGTTTTAATGTTATTCTGATTCATTTGAAGTCTTCAGATTTCAGATTAGAGCTGACTTTGGTCCAGTGTTGTCCCAGTTGACATTCCAGAGAAGCAGAGTAATGTTGTTATTTTTATAGTATCCTTAGAGCAAAAAGAAACATTATTCCTGTGTCATTACAGGGATAAAGATATACTTATCACTCTATGGTAAATATATAAAAGATGCCAGTACAATACTTTAGTGTACCTCAAAAACGCCCTGCCAGTACGTGCCATAAAGTTAATTAGTCCACTTCTAAATTACCATATTTAGAACCAACACTTGAAATAAAGACACTCAGCAGTTGCTGATTGGCAATGACTGCCATAATCCCATACCGTATTCAGCAGTTAATCCAACATAATTGGAGCACAGTAAACCAGTAGAATTTGTGGTATTTTGATATTTTTTCATCATATTACTGGAAGCTATTACGTTATATTTGACTTGCGCTGTTAGCTACACTGTTATTCAAATAATGATATCTATTGAATTTAAGGATATTGTGCAAAATGCTAAGCCACAATTTACAAAACAACCACACATGTGTATCAATGGAAAATGTGACTTCATCCTTCTGCTGCTCTCACTGCTCTCTCTCTCGTTGCTTCCTACTCCTGCTGCATTCTTTCATAAAATGTGCTCATCCTGCTGAAATGTCCAGCTCATGACATCAGCCAAAGCGTTGACAGTTCTCCCGGGGTGTCTTTGGTCAGCACAAACTCAGGCTGTCCACAGAGCAACTCACGGAAATACCTTGTGTAACACCAGGAGTGTAACGCCAGGAGTGTAACACCAGGAGTGTAACACCAGGAGTGTAACGCCCAGGAGTGTAACACCAGGAGTGTAACGCCAGGAGTGTAACGCCCAGGAGTGTAACACCAGGAGTGTAACACCAGGAGTGTAACACCAGGAGTGTAACACCAGGAGTGTAACGCCAGGAGTGTAACACCAGGAGTGTAACACCAGGAGTGTAACGCCCAGGAGTGTAACGCCCAGGAGTGTAACGCCCAGGAGTGTAACACCAGGAGTGTAACACCAGGAGTGTAACACCAGGAGTGTAACACCAGGAGTGTAACGCCCAGGAGTGTAACACCAGGAGTGTAACACCAGGAGTGTAACACCAGGAGTGTAACACCAGGAGTGTAACACCAGGAGTGTAACACCAGGAGTGTAACACCAGGAGTGTAACACCAGGAGTGTAACACCAGGAGTGTAACACCAAGAGTGTAACGCCCAGGAGTGTAACGCCCAGGAGTGTAACGCCCAGGAGTGTAACACCAGGAGTGTAACACCAGGAGTGTAACGCCCAGGAGTGTAACACCAGGAGTGTAACGCCCAGGAGTGTAACACCAGGAGTGTAACGCCCAGGAGTGTAACACCAGGAGTGTAACACCAGGAGTGTAACACCAGGAGTGTAACACCAGGAGTGTAACACCAGGAGTGTAACACCAGGAGTGTAACACCAGGAGTGTAACACCAGGAGTGTAACACCAGGAGTGTAACACCAGGAGTACATTATAGTTTAATCATCGCACTATGGGACATAATGGTGCTATTCCTCACTCATTTACCTCATCACTCATAGTTCTGTTCTGCTTAACTTTTCTGCTTGCTCATCACAGTTTAGATGTTATATTTTCCCCCAGGTTTATGATGTTTCAGGAGAACATAACAAACATTTGGACCATTAGTCATTGTTGGCTTGTTTGATTAATCAAATGGAAAGAAAAATCAAATAAAATGTTCAATATTACTGGATGCTCTACAAGGATGAACGGAGCAGAGAATAGAAAAATAGACCACTGCAGCCAATTCAAATGATAAAGGACTTTTATTTTACTAGTGTGCCTCCTTTTTGCGCCCTGAATTGTTTCTATCCTCATGCTAGAGTATAACTAATACCTAAAACCATTTATTTTAATATACATTGAATTCGAATATATGGAACATATCAGAATATTTGGGATTTGTTTCTGTTTCTCGTGGAAAAGATCAAATCACATTTGTGTTAATGACAACGTGGTTTTTATAGTGGCTTTAGTTGTTTTGTAATGATTGGGTCAGTTTTATAACTGTAATAGTTTTGAGAGCTTTTGTTTAGCCACCTGTGGGGCTTCAGATGGAAAATGGCCACATAGATACAATCTGGTGTTTTCACAGCTCCTCCTGTTGATTAATACACACTGTCCCATCCAATTAGACACATACAATATTTCTTTGGTCGACTACATCCCAAACCAACATTGTATTCAAATTGTGCTGTGTTGCTGCATTTTAAATGTCCATGCGAACAATTCCTTCTTGATCACAATCATTATTACAAAAGTATAAGCTAATTTATCGAATTGCTTAATTGCTATGGCAACGGCGTGAAACCCATGAACATTACTGTGTGACTGACCTTTGTAAGATCAATACTTGGTTACATGGGCTAGATCCAAGCGCTGCACTCAATAACCTAGTTTTAGTCCAGTCCTGTCCATTCTGAAGCAGGCCCTTTCTTTTATAAGCACTTGTGACCATCCATAGCTTCAGGACATACAGAGTTTCCCAGTGAAGTCTCTTTGCCTCTCTGCAAGGACAGCTGTGAAATCTCCAAAAGGCTGCAAGTTTTACTGTGTATAATGTTTCATGGGTTTATGGGTAGTATTTCATATTTTTCCTGGATCTTCTCGGACTGATTTATCTCATTGTTTGAAAGGGTCATGCTGCCTTTCAGTATAGCAGTGCATTGTATAGATTTTGTATGCCTCATTCCTTCTGAGGCTAAGGAGCCGACCACATGACTTGGCAAACACCATGCTCTAGATTCACTTTCAGTCGACGTTTTGTACTCATCGAAATGTGGTTTTGATAATCGTGGTTTTTTTTCTACCACGTTGATGGCCGCGGGTAGTCTGGTGTGAGCGCATAGGGTTCAGCTCAGATCTTTTGTCTAGCTGAAATTCAACAAAATGTTTCATTTACTTTTTGTTTTGTTGCAACAAGTTAAACAATCAAACAAATTCAAATAGTTGTCAACTAATCAATTCATCATTTTTTGTTGATCTTACCTAGACTTAAACATGCTGAAAGAAGGATTCGACGATTATATCATAAAGAAGTTCCCTCTGTCGTAATGTTTGGATACTGAAACCAGTTGATTATGTTCAACTTTACTTTTTTCTACAAACCTAGAAAGCAAAATAGCGTACGTCATCTTTATTTGTTTACTCTTTCCCAGCTGAAATCCTC